AAGATATATGCAAGAACAGGCTCAATGATTAACTACATGGACTATTGTGGGTGTGGTGTATATTTTGTAACCATTCTTTAGTATATCACTTGTGTGATGTAAGAATGTTAACACTGTTATATTCTTTTTTTAGTATAATATGTGTGTGTGTAGAAGTGAATCATTTATTGCTTGCAAACCAATGATGGTAAGATGATGTCATGGGGTAGGACTGGATAAGTCTGATTTCTTCCTACTCCATTCAAGCATGTACTAGGTATAAGCAAATTGATATTGGATTAGCATTTGTTGGATATGTGTAAAATTATGTGTGTTGACATATCAACTGTCTTTACATGCTTGAAATAATAAATCAAATCAAATCAAAATCAAACATGTTAATGACAAGCCAGCCATGTGTGAAGGACATACACTGGCAGATGTCCCTGTATCAATGTTATGTCTACTCCTTGAGTCTAGTGAAAGATAAAGCACTGGACTCAAATCTGTTGGCGGGTCATAGTGAAGGTTATATTATAAAAATCAGACATTTCACTGATGTCATGTGAATTTGATGAAAATAATTTAACAAAGCAGTTCTGATACAGTAAGCATCTAAGTATTTGGAATAATTTGGAACCCTAAAAGCTGTCTTATAGTTAGGATGTACCTCCACGGGTCTTCATTTTCAATCTGAGTGAGAATATGAAACATTAAATATATCACTATGTTTACTTTTATGTAGCAACCACAATGGAAATGTAATATTATAACATTCCCTTGTTACAAAGATCAGCTAAATTATAAAACCAAATTTGCATTTGTGAAAATAGGCTCAAAAATCAACTGTACTTATTAACATCTTCCACTCCATCACCATTATCAAGGAAAAATGCCTAGAATTACATAACCTGAATGAAAGTGCTGAAGCTCCTGAACCACCCTAATGGTGTGACATCATTTATTATGATAGAGAACAGTCACCTTGAGATGAGTTTATGTAATCTGAGTTTATTGGAAAAATAGAATGTAAGCAGTACAATTTGGATCAAATAATGTCAACTACAACCCGACACACATGAAACAATCTGATTATTGCCACAGAAATGGTCAAAAGTTGCCATGGGGGCCTGTAGAAATATAGTTTAACAGGAAAATGTTGATTAGATTAATTATAAGTCTTAGAGAGACTTGCATATAGTTTGTGCTGTATGTCATAAATCTTGGTAACTGGCTGGTATGAATCAAATGGCTTAGATTGGTGTCAGCCCTAATAACATCACTGAAAATCATCTTGGTCTAAATAAAGAATTCTTGTTACCATTCTTCACCCACATCTGCTCTACCTGCTAAATGAGCTAACAAACAAGGATTAAATAAACATCAACACCATTAATCTGAAGACTGCTCCCCTTTCAAGCACTTTTCAAACAAGAAACAAATCTCACAACAAACTTCGACTGCACTGATACATGAGGTAGAGGAATTCCTTCCAGTCAAGGGCATTCATTTCATCTGTAGGAGTAGCTCTCATCATCATACTCTAGCTCGATCTCATCTTCATCCTCCAGGAGTCCATATTTGAATTTCATATACACCGTTCCATCTTGTGCCATGTATACTATATCATCATCATCATCTTCTTCTTCTTGATCATTCTCACATTCAATGATCCGGTCACTATACTCTCCAAATGAAGAGGTGGTGAATTGTGAGGTGACACCTCCATTGCATCCAGTATTCAGTTTCTCATATCCTCCAGCTTTGGTTTTGGGTGCGATGGCGAGTGATTTGGATCGGGCAGAGAGGAAGAGGAAGAGCCCTCCGCCCACAGACAGGATAAGTAGAACACAAGCAGTGACAAAGAGTTTGGTGGTGCTGCGTTGAGCTTCTAAATCCTCAGCGTTCCTCAACACAAAGTTGACACCTAGGATGCACTCCTCTGAGAAGAAGGAAATATACTTGGTTTGTGTGATGAATCCGTGCCTGGCATAAGTGTGTTTTACAAGGCTCTACTTCCAGTGAGATGCAGTCTTGTTTATCATGGCTTGAGGCCTAGAAAGCTTGGAAAATATCTTGTAATAGAAACCTTTTAAGCATCATTCTAAAATATTGAAAACCCCTGTTTTGCTGGAAGATTAAATCTCTGACTAAACTGTGGAAGGGCTGTGATGAATTATACAGAGAAACCATTACAAATGGCAGATGCCCTGAAACAATGTGGCTGATGACTCACATACAGTAAACACACTTCTCCAGAAACCAGATTACTAGATGACATCAAAGGCCTCAATGAACTATGTATGTTTTTGTGAAGGGCTCTCTGTGTCCTTATTTACCTTGTGAGGCCCTGCAGTCACAACATTCCCTGGGTATTGGCTTATCATCGTGTCGCATCTCGTTTCCACAACAGCTCAAGCAGCGGCCATCATCAGACAAAATCTGGAGTGCAGGGCAAACAGTGCAGTTCCACATGCTGGGACCTCGGCAGTCCAGACAGGAGGAATCACACACTTTGCAGTCTGGTGTATCACTCTTAGACTTAGAGGCCTTGAGAAACAGAAGAACTTGTTACACAGCAGACTGAGTGTCACCTTCACACATTTATCTCAGAGTAGCCTGAACGCACTTTATAAATGAAGAGACGCACAAACTGTCTGTCACCTGTGAAGCAGCATAGAAGCCTACGAGACACTGGGATTCGCAGATGCCGCTCATAAATGTGTAGCCTTCATAACAGGACTGACATTGTAGAGCACCTTCATCTGGAAGGAGAGAGACAGAGAAACAACAGGAAGTAGTGTAAGATGTCATCACATGGCATGGTAAAAAAAAAAACCATGACAAATAAGGCATAAGAGACAATAGTACAGGGCCATGTGCACTTTTTTATTGCTTTTATTTGTATTTATTCTTGCACTGTTTCCCAAAATGCATCACTACAATAAAAAAACGAACCTAACTTATAAAATTCAGTCTGTATACTCTGTGTAGATTTTTTTTAACTCCTGAGAGGTATTCTGAAAGTGTTTATGCCTTTGTAAAAGCCCCAAAACAAAACAAACTGTGATGCAACAATTCATGCTCAGTAATGTAGAATCATATAAAAACAAAGCAAAATAAAGAAATGGCAGAAATAAGCCATGACATGCTTCCTTTACCACTGCAGGTTTTACAGGTGGGGTGACACCTGTGACAGGTCTTGGACCAGCTGTGTTTGTAGTAGTTTGGAGGGCAGCTCTGCAGGCACTGCCCCCTCAGGTAGACGTAGCCCTCACGACAACTCAGACAGTTTCTGTTACTCTGACCCCGGCATTGGCTACAAGAGGGATCACAGCGCTCACAAACCATGGTGGTGGTATTGCCAAAGTGACTGAAAAGTGAAGATGACATCTGTTAAATTTATGGTGTTTTGTTATAGAAGAGGAGAGGAGATGCCACTTTGTGTATCTGTGTTCTAACCTTTCTGAACAAGTTTCAACACAGCTGCTTCCGTGCTTGAAGAATCCAGGTTTGCAGGTGACACACTGCACACTGTGACGACCGACGCAGGACTCACAGCTAAAGTGGCAGCGCTCGCACTCACGTTCATCACTGTCCTTGGCATAGTAACCCACAGGGCACTCCAGCACGCATGTGCTGTCTGATGGACAGAAACACAAAGTCAGGACACTAAAGGAGAAGTTTCTATTTGGTGGATAGCCACAACATTTAATACAGAGCGATCACAAATGTTTTCTAGCAGCCTTGGCTTAGTCTGATGACTTACTCAGTAGGAAGTGCGTCTCTGTGCAGCTGAGGCAGTGATCTTTTCCCGGCCCTGAACAGCGATGGCAGAGTTTGTGGCATGGTTGGCACCGTTCATTCTGGTCCATGTATGAGTGCAGAGAGCACTGACTGAGCCACACGCAGTGTCCACTAGCATCTTTACGTCTGTTGGCATCACAGCTGAGGCAGGATGAGGGCTCATGGCCCGAGCAGGTCAGACACGACCTGTCACAATCTGGATAAATGAAAAGGTGTTAAACACAGCCAGTGATGGCAGAGAATTAATATTCTTGTTTCTACCTTCCCTACCTCTGCATTCATTGGTAGTCTCATCATAGTAAGTGCTGTTGGTACACTCAGCCAGACACTCCCCATTGTAACGGACGGCTTTCGGGTTGTGACACTCATCACAGTCATCAAAGCCTGGTCCGTCACACGAGGCACAATCAGCATAGCAACGCACGCACTCATGATGCTGCTCACTAGCAAAGTAGCCACCAGGACAATCATCCACACATTTATCCTCATGGAGGAAGTAGTACTCAGCACACTCTGGGAGAGAGGGACGGAAAGAGTAATAAGCTACAAAGTACGAGTGACAAAACACTACAGTTTACATCGTTTGTGTAGGAATACTTTGAAAAGGGAAATGTAGGCCAAACGATTAATATTACAGACTGGACTTTTACAGCTACTGTTATAGGTTAAATGCCATTACATGCTTAGAAATGATTTAATGGTAACTGTCATTCAATTATACAAGTCTCACTATTAAAATGAACCTTTTTTGTATTGAAAACAAAATGTTTCACTAAAGCAGGCTGACTACATGACGATACAGGAAGGTAACGATGGATTCGTACATGAAAAAATGCAACTCTTAACTCTTTATGGTGTACATTTGAATTCTGATCTCCTCCTCTTGGTCAGCCCTCACTTCCTATTCCTCTTTCTGGCACATACTTTTTTTTTGCTTTTCACTTCTATAGCATGACGAAGTAATGAATAAAAATCTTGTTTGTGTGTAACTGCAAGAGTAATCATAAATCTACCACTGACACAATCAAAGAAAACCTGTGGGCTACATTTAGAAAAATCATTATTTATGTATGTCAAGTCATTTCATTAAGACTCATCATATTTCCTAGTAGTTTAGTACCAAGATGTGGTGTATATTATGAATTTCAGCCATAAGTACAACATGACTCTTCACTTCCTCTCCCCCTATATTTAAGTTTCATGGCTGAACTATTTGCAGTCCAGGGAGCAGAGACTGAGCTTCTCACATTGCCTGTTTTCCTGCTTTCTGCATCCCCTCCTCATCTTCCCCATCTTCTGATCAGCTACATCATTTTCCAAGTAAACTGCCTTTCAAAGCAGTATGTTTGCTTGATCCTCCTTTCCTCATCTTCCCTTCCTCTACCCTTCACTGCTCCGTCTACCATACTAACTTTTACACAGGCCGTCCTGATTGCACTCGCTACAGTGAGCTGGACACCGGCGGCATTCTCTCTCGGTGGCGTAATAGCCCTCTGGACAGTGTGACCTGCAAGACCATTCCAGCAGCAAGTACTGTCTCTCACAGCTGAGACAATGAGAGGAATTCCCCTGGCAGGATGCACACTCTGGGGCACACGGCTGGCATACACCACCTTGAGGAAACCCTCTGAGAAATGGGCAGAGATAGTAGAAAATAAGGGTCTCACTGATGTATTATGATGTATATTTGTCTGCATTCAAGAAATGAGAAAACAGGACGAGTACCTCTGACACTTCACCACACACACTCCATTGTGCAGGTAAAGCCCTTTGCGACAGCGCTGGCACTGCTGGGCGTCCTGGCAAACGGTACACCCTTTCGAGCAGTCTTCACAATGGCTGGACACATTGTTGGCAAACATACCGAATGGACAATGAGACGCGCAGGTCTGTCGAGGAGTCAAAAAACGACCTGAAGACAGAAAGACAAACACACCGCTGATACAAGAACATGGCTGCCAGCAGTCAACAACTTGTTTAGATGTGAGGTAAATTCTGTCATCACTGCCACACTGCCTGCTAAAGAAAAAACATGTACATTGACAGCAAGTTTGTCTGTAACATTCACTGTAAGCCTAGTCCAATAACCCTTTTGCATTTTAAGAAGGTTCCAGACAGCTAACGTTTACCTGGATAGCAGCTGCTGCAGTCCGACCTCCCTGCAGCAGAGCAAGTCTTACAGAAAGTATGACACAGCTCACAGTCATCTTCACCTAAGGACAAAATCCAGATGTGAATGACATGAAAGAAAGACAGGAGGAACTGAGAGGAGATGACCCTCAAAAAATATAATACTATCTGAAATAGGATGACAATTAGATTAAAGGTGTGTTACTGAGAACCTAATGTATTTCATAGCAACATGTTTCAATTCCATTAGCAATACGTCATTTTCATTTGGTGGACAAAAGGTTAGAGGTGAGTAATATGTTGCGCCAAGGCAGAATTGATCATTTACATACTGTTTCTGAAGTATTTCTCAGGGCACGGGGCCAAGTTTTTGCCCTCCAAACACTCCCCGTTCTCCAGTGTGAATCCGTCCTCACAAGAGTCACAGTCATCATACTGTGGCCCTCCGCATGTACGACAGGCACGGTGACATGGCTCACATTCCCGGCTCTCCTCATCCACAAAAAAACCTTCCACGCAGTGATCCACACACCTTCCATCTGGACAAAGAAACTCAATTTATGTACTTCCTCTATATACCATTAAAGTTATCCTTTTATTAAAATAATTATGTGCCATCTCAGGTACTTTTTTTATACCAGCCCTTTGAAAACATTTTTGAAAAGCCTTTTGGGATGGCTATAAAATCGCAACATTTATTACCAGTCGCAGATCTCAGCTTCTCCAAAAATGTCTCTATGTAGGATGGTTAAATATTCTTAAAACTGTACAGTAACATAGAAAGCTTTATTGCAGGTAAAGTGTCAGCTCCTCAGGGTGCGGTGGCCCACCCTGTCTGCCCTAGGTAAATGATACTGAGTCACAAATTCAAATGTTACCGTAGATGTAGAATCCCTCTTCACACCAGTAGCACTGGAACTGGTCACAGATTTCGCATCGTTTGTCTTCGCACAGAGCGCACACCATGGTGTTATTTGCACCATAGGTCCGATCTGGACAGGACTGATGACAGTCTGTGTCTAACCTGACAGACGGAAAGACACAAAGACAGATATTATCAATATAACGACATATAAATATGGGGGTGTAGCTCAATGAAACTCCCAACCAAAGAGACTTACTGGTAGAAACCATCTTCACATTTGAGGCAAACAGTTTTCTGCTCTCCTGAATCCTCTGTGGTGAAAAGCAGAAATTAAAATCATTAACAACTGATCACTCATATGGTGAATTCTGGACTTAGTCAAGAGGTTCAGTTTACGATCTCAAAGTAAGACAAAAAGAAAGCCTACTGCAGCCTTATAGTTGTTGCGGCTTCTGTTCAAACCACATTTAAATATAATGCACCAAGTACTCTTTTTGCACTGGCGTGTAGAGGTGAAGCAGCAGTATATGTTGTATTGCTGTCATCACCATCTTTCAGACATTTCCCCTTCTAGCTTCTCCATACCCACAAAGGTCAAACATATAACTATAACATTACTGTGGTGTTTAGTGTTAGTGGTCGGCTGTTTATGTAATTAACTTGTGAACATGTGGAAATCTTACTTTCCATCTTGTCTACCATGCACCCAAAGACAGCACTGGGATTTGTCTCAACCCAGCTCCTTTAACACCAGCAGGAGGCGCTCTGACAACACACAATAAATATGCTGGGTTAACTGTAGAATTGAGCGGCACTATGCCATCAATCATCGGTGACTGTGCTCAGTGAATTAGAAAACAAATCTCAGCGAAGTCTTCAAACAAAAGTAAAAGTCAGAGAGTGCCTGGGGCTATTCTACTTCACATCTGTATCTTTTCGTTTTGCTCATCTTAGATAGGTCAGAAGTTCGGCTGCTGCTGTGTTGTACTTTAATGTTGTTTATGTGTGTTTTTCTGTGTTTGTTCAGCTGGTACTACATGTATCTTTGCTTAAAAACACAAATATAAGCATAATGTGAGTGATAAGTGATGTAAAACACTCAGATATTTGCTGTTTGTTGTATTTCTGTCATAGGAAACATATGCAGGGGATATTAATAAGTAATTCAGATGTGTGTGAGAGATTGTTTTTATATACACACACTGAAGGAGGGGGTTCATTTTATTTCCAAATTAATTAATTCCACCTGCCGATCAAATCTGTCGAACTGGTAAGTGAGGAAGAGTCATGCTGTCATCTTTTAATCCAAACAATGTCAAAACAGGACAGAGGGAGGGATAAGAGGAAGAGAAAGGAGGGATCAGACAGGAAGCAGAAAGAGAGAGAAAAGGCAAGGGACAGATACTGTAGACGGGGAGAGAAAGAGATGGAAATAACTACTAAAAAAGCCCCTACTGCAGACTCTCCCTTGGGACATTCATCCTCTCTGGGAAAGCCTCCATCACCCCCCACACACCCAATTCCTCTCTCCGTCTCCTTCCGGTACCCACAACACTGCACTGGTTTGCACTTCAATACAGTAGACAAGCCACTACCTGTGAAAGCAATTACTCATACAGCAAGGGACTGAGAGAAAGGGAAGGTGGGAGGGACAGAGGTATAGAACAAGACAGGGAGTGAGGAGCCAGAAATCGTGCCTTCAGGCTGTGTCTGTGCGAAGACAGAAAATAGTGCCTGCATAAATATTAACTGTGGAAGCCAGAGGACGGGGAATTTCACCAGAACTCAAACAAGCATACACATCTTGAAGTACGTGCTCGTGGAATTTGCAAGAACTCACACATTTACGGTCTACATGCACTCACAATCTCCACATAACATTAGGACTCAGATACATAATATACAAGCACAGTAAAAATAAAAAATAAAACTCTGAGGAGGGATCCATCTTCCAGAACAGACACATGGTAGATTTTCACTATACACAACCCAAATGATAAAATTATAGTTGTAGATATATACGAAGAACATGATCCGGGAGGATGCCGAGCATCTCCTAGGTGTTGTCAAACAAACCTGAGCCACATGACCTCTTTGCTAGTAAAAAGTGGTGATATATAAAAAAAAAGAGCAGGCATGGATGAACTCAGCCTTACTCACCTCAAATCATCACATCAGTGGGAGAAACTGATTTAATGCGTTTATCCAGAAGTGTTTGAGAAGTGGACTGGGAAGTGAGAAAAGGAGTGGATGTTTGAATATGATCAAACAAAGCAGCCATAAGAAAGACGGCTTATTTAAAGCACAGAGATGAGCTGCAGAGCATGGAAACAGCTGAACATTGAAAGCGCAATGAGCTTTATTGTGAGCAGCAAAGAAGGGTGTTTAGCACTACTCAATGAAGAAATGAAAACCCTCTCGAGATGTTGCAACCAAGGAATGAAGAATGGCACACGCACCCAGGCAGGAGCTAAAACTTTTAAGTACCCAGAATGATTAAAGATGTGTCACCAGCATTGCCCAGTAACAGAGGAAGCCAAGGAGCCATGTGTCAAGGAGGGCCACGGTAATGAAGGTTTTTCCTATCCCAGGTAAAAGATAACGTCTGGTGGTTTCTGCTGAGAGCGCTTATCATAGGGCTACATAAGACATATGTGCCAGTGCTATTCCTTAAAACACAGTAAGCCAAGACAGATTTGAAACATGACTAATCCAACGATAAAATATTCTCAATATACAAAGACGATTAATGGGTAAAACAGATGATGAATTATGAAGAAGTACTGAAGTAATTTGATAAGAGGAGATAGGACTGAGTGGGTGCTACTGCATCTTATCACACACTGCCAGGCTGGCAAGCTCTTTGATAGATTTCACACAACTGCACATTACAAACTAACACACACAACTCTTTTACTAAACTGTAAGACTAATCTTAAAGGCATAGATGAGAATAAGACCCAAAACCAAAGAAGTGATGTTTGATTTCAGAGCACTCTGAGAGTATATTGTGTTCTTTTGAATAACTAGGGAGTCGACTGCTGCATTTGAAATTAGTAACCAGTCTATACATTGCTTTCACAAACACTGAAAAAAAATTTGGATAGAATTTTGCAGTAAGTCTATAACTCATGATAACTCATGCCTTAGCCCTAACCTATGCAGCATCTAATCCTAATTCTGATTTAAGACTTTCACTCAAAGTAGCCCCTAAAAAAAGCAGCAACCATTCAAAGAAACGTTGCAAACATCTTATGACTGTAAATGTCTAAAACAGGACAGAAAGCGTGAGCATGCACACACACAGCAGATGCCCGTCTCTGACACTGCACGTTCTGTTTCATCTTCACTTTAAGCCCATGGCATCGCATCACAGGGCCAATCATCTCAAATCTCTAAACTGCTGACTGACTTGTGTAGCTTGCAGAATTGTGATTACTACAAGTGAGTGGGAGGTAGGCAGGTTGTGGTGAGGGTGAGAGTGATGAAAGATATTCCACCCAGAATGCATAATGACATAATAACAGTCTGTCTCCACCTCAGACTAGTTCAGCACAATAACAACTTTCTCTGGTATGTTGCTAATCATCTCGGGGAGAAGGAAGTGCTTTAGTTTTTATGTGTCTTGTACTGAAGGGGTGAAGTGTAACAGCACAAGGTTTTAACTAACATTTTTCTGGTACTTTATAAATGACATTGGTCAAATTGGTTTTATTTTATATCCTGCATGATCATTAATTTCTCTGACTGTGTTGTTGTGGAGTATCCCATCCAAAATGTTCTAGATAAGGTGTCTGATCATTTATGAAATCTGCAGTAAAGTGCAGTTAAGTTCTAAGAGATGGCCTGTCCAAGTGAATTCCCTAATGAATAGGGTTTACTGGAATAGGCAAAGTGATAATTAACTGCAGGGTACATTTGAATGCTCAGTTAATTTATGATGACTTTTCTGCAGTAAGTAAGCCTACAGCAAAGAGTGTGGTGCAACAAAAAGCAATAACACCATTAATAAATGCAGGCACCCCACCTCAGAATTACACTATCAAACATATTTATGAGGTGTTTTGTTTTGGTTACAAACTTTTCCGATATCTCACTATATCTCACTCCCAAGGACCAAAGTGATAAATGTCTTCAACTGTAAAAACAGTAAAAGTTGAGTAGTACAAGATTCACTCATCCCATCACTTTACCTGCAAGATATTGTGGTGCTTGTTGTAGCTACAGAATATAGCTGCTGCTGACCCTATTGTAAACTTGGTTTTATTTCATCCATGAAGAAGGTGAGAAAGGCAAGAAGAGAGAGATAGCAAGAAAAACGTGGTTTACTCACTCCGTTCACATTTCGCGCAGCCCTCATCACAAGGGAGACAGTCAGTGTTATCTGCATCTGTGACCTCGCCTGATGAACACAGCGAATCAGACAGTGGATCAAAAACATGCATAAAGCATAAGAAAATGGTGAAGATGAAAAAAAGACTAGCAGTGTCATTGGGATTTAATTTCAAAATGGTATGTATAAGTCCAATTGTGGCATTTCATTTTAGTTATTGCTAACTGTGCAATACTGGGTGAAA